CGGGGAGGGCCTGTGAGAGGCTGGGCTGGTCTTCTGTGGGCGTCGACGTCGCCTTCAGCTGCTGCTGGCGCTGCAGCAGCAGAAGGTGAAGCAGCAGCAGCAGCAGCAACAGCTGAGGGTGATGATCCTGGTGCTGCAGCAGCAGCTGCTGCTGCTGCAGCAGAGGACACAGATGAAGACGAAGAGTCCTTTGCTGCCTTCTCTAAAGCACTGCAGCTGCTGAGCATGCAGCACCCTAGAGACGCTGCAGCAGCAGCAGCAGCAGCAATTGCAGCAAGAACAGCAGCAACAGCAGCAACAGCAGCAGCAGCAGCATCAGCAGCAGGGGAATTTGACAGTGGAGACTGGGACATGACAGGACATGCAGACTCAGCTGCTGCAGAGACCCAAGCCTACAGCCAAAGTGCTGTTACCGGCACCCCTGCTGCTGCTGCTGCTGCTGCTGCTGCTGCTTTTACACCTGCGGCGTCGATGCCTGCATGGACCCCGCCATCTGAGCAAACTCAGCAGCCAGCAGCAACGCCAGCAGCGGCTGCTGCTGCTGCTTCAGCTGAGGAGCAGCAAAACGGTTTGGAGCTGCAGCAGCAACAACAGCAACTGCAGCAGCAGCAAGAGCCTGCTCCACTGCTGGTGACACTCTCCCGTCTGTTTACTCGGTGAGTGTCCATCGGCATTTGCTGCTGCTGCTGCAGCATTTTCTGCTGCTGCTGCTGCAGCATTTTCTGCTGCTGCTGCTTCCTCTGCTGCTTCCAGCCCTCAGCAGCACGCCAACTGCAAGCTGCAGCAGCAGCAGCAGCAACAACGATGCATAGAAGCAGCTAAATGCGGCTGTGCTGCTTGGCCTGCAGGTTATCACTGCGGAAAGCCCGTCGAGAGCGGAAGAAGCAAGGCGAGCAGCAGCTGCTGCTGCTGCTACAGTTGCTGCTGCTGGACTTGCTGCTGCTGCTGCGAATTTTGCTGCTCATGGAGCTGCCGTTGGAATTCTTGGTTCTGGAACTGCGGCTGCTGCAGGCTGTACTGCTGCAAGTGCTGCTGCTGCTGCTGTTGCTGCTGCTGCTGAGCCGTTAATGAGGCTTCAAAGGAAGCTGCGTGCTGCGGTTTGCTGCTGCAGGGACAGCAGCAGCAGCAGGAATGACGGGCGCTGCCGCAAGAGGCAGCAGCAAGCGGTCCTGCAGCAGCAGCAGCAACGGCAGCAGCAGCAGCAGCAGC